AGTATTTTCATGAATTTGGAGCAGAGAAAACATTAACCCTAAAGGAAGAGATGGATACATGTAAACATTACAATTAAGAACTTCTGTTCATCAAAAGACATCCTTAAAAGAATGAAAGTCAATATATACACTTCCACATCTTGCCCATTAAAAAAAATCCTCCATAATCTTCCATTTTCTCTTTCACCTTTTACCAGCTGGATATTAATGCCAAAGTGACCTTAGAAATGAAATTAATGTAGCAGGATTCTTGCACAGATCGAGACACCAAGGCTTTTCTTTTCCAGGAAGCAATTTTACTCATGCCAGCACTGCTCAGTTGGGTTCGTACCCAAAGAACTGAGCCCCGAATACCACATGGCATAGTTGTTTATACACTTTTTTTGTCTCCCACATATGGTAACACACAAACATGCAGCCTGGTTAAGTGGTCTCATGTTACAAGGTTGTGAGGGATGTCACGTAGGTATAGCCAGGTAGCCTTGAATGTGTGTTTTTTTTTTTCCTCTCTCCTTTGGGAGGAGCCCCTACTACACTAAAGATGACATAGTTCTCTTTTTTGAATTTATTTATTGTGAGAGACAGAGAAAACATGCCGCTGCACACACAAAGAGGGAGAGGGAGAGAAGGAATCCCAAGCAGATTCCATGCTGTTAGGGCAGAGCCCAATGTGGGGCTCAAACTCACAAACTCACATGAGATCATGATCTGAGCAGAAATCAAGAGTTGGATGCTTAACCAGCTGAGCCACCAGGTGCCTATAAGATGGAGTTTCTAACGGTAGTCATACTCCTGTCCGCTCTCATCTCTGACGGGTTTTATGTGAACTACAAATAAACTACTATTGTGTTAAGACATTATATTTTGAGATTAATTCTAAAATTTCACTATTAATCTATTAAGACAGCTAGTATTATTGTTGCTAGTACACGTATCCACACCCCCACATATATGATTATCTCAGGCTGGTTTTGATTCACACTGTGACACTCAAAACGCAACTTGAATGCAACCTCTGCTAATTCATTACGTCCTCACTATAAGCTAAATATCCTTTCTGCAGGTCCTATAGCACTCATGCCTTGATAAATCAGGAGGCAATATAGAGTAGTCATTGCGAGTACCAACTCCAGGTTTGCTTCTATGTGGGTGTGGATATCACTTTTTTTTTTTATTTGTTGGCTGCATGACTTGAATAAGTTATTAAACCTCTGTAGAGTTTCCTTCCCTTAACTGTAAAATGTTACATTAACAACTTAGACTCTGATATCAGAGTACTTGATTTTGGTTTCTTTAGTGTTTTATTAATTTTTTTAAAATTTATTTTTGAGAGAGAGAGAGCATGAGTCGGGGAGGGACAGAGAGGGAGACACAGAATCCAAAGAAGGCTTCAGGCTCTGAGCTGTCAGCACGGAGCCCAACGCAGGGTTCAAACCCACAAACCATGAGATCATGACCTGAGTTCAAGTTGGACACTCAACTGACTGAGCCATCCAGGTGCCCCCAGACTACTTGATTTTGAACCCCAACTCTGGGAGGGCCATATGTCAAAAGTACTCAGTGTATAAAAAGTGCTGAGAATAGGGAAACATCATGGTGTTGGATATAGTGTGCTGACAAGAGGGACAGGAGAAATCTCGAGTAGCTACCTTTAAGAGGAAGTGTGGGGATCAAGGAAGACACTGAAAAATGTGTCTGTGGACTTCAGTGTGTAAAACTTTTCCATGCCCCAAAGTATAATTATAGTAAAGAAATTTGATATTGTTCAAAACTTCTGAATCATATTTGTATTTTATCATTTTTAGCTATGTTTGCTTAGATGCTTTAAAAAAATGTTTATTTATTTTTGAGGTGGGGGAGAGACAGAAAGAAAGAATCCCAAGCAGGCTTCTTGCTGTCAGCACAGAGCATGATGCAGAGCTCAAACCCACAAACCATGAGATCTTGACTTGAGTCGAAACCAAGAGTCAGACGTTTAAATGACTGAGCCACCTAGGTGCTCTGGGTGCTTTTTTAAATCTATGGGTAGACAGAAGTAGGTCTCATGACTGCCTGCTCCATACTTAGTAGTCCTCAATAAACAGAAACTAGTGTTACAATTCTGATCACAGCCTATTAAATTTGTTATTTTGACTGCTTCCCCCATTATATTCTGTCTTATTCATTTCTGTATGCCCATCACTTTAAGCCTCTCTGTAAAGGTAAGTGCTCAATCAATATTTGTAGAATACATCATCTGAAGGAACTAGGTAGATGATGGGTAGAGACAAATTCACAAAAGAAAGGATGAATGCTAAGATTGTTACATCAGCTTTATGGGAAAACACCCTAGAATGGTCACCCATAGAAGATAAATGTGTACTTAGAGTAGGCCTTGTACTTACCTACTTTGGGACTCTCTATTTGGGCATGCCTCACTGGGGCCTTGTCCTCACTGGTAGACAGTGGAGTACTTAAAAGCTCACGTTCTAGACCCAGACTGCCTGCCTTCAAATTCTGGTTCATCCACAGATGTATGCACTGTAAAGTTAGTGATGTGAAGTCTTAGGGTCCCTTACTTACAACCCCTTCCAAAATCCTGTGTATGTATTTCATATTTGAGAATTTGCATTCTATTTCTGAAACAGGCTCCCAATATTGTAAAACAAAACTTTCAGATTCCACAAAATGTGGATCCAGCGTTGGCTCCACCACTCAATGGCTATGTGACTTGGGCTCAATGTATTTATTTGCTATGTGTCTCCACTTCTCCATTTGTAAATGGAATAAAGCTGGCATCTACTTCATAGCATTGTTTTGAAAACTGATACATGTAAAATGTTTAGCACAGTGTCAGGCACATAGTACGTGTTCACTGTGTATTGGCTTCTTTAACTCCCTTCTGTGGTTATTCCTTATCTTCCTCTTTTGTGAGCCCTGTCAGGCCTACGATCACCTTTCTCTTCACAAATTTAGCCTGTAGCTTTAATCCTTAATCCCTTCCCCCATGCTCCTGTACATTCTGTTTTATGAGCCTCCTGAGTTGTTTACAATCTGATTTTATCAACCTCTATTTGTTTTCTGAAACCTACTGGACCTGTTCATTACTCAGAGGACATGACAATTTTGGTTTCATTTTTCTCCCCCTGAGAGCCATCTGCTAGATCAGTTTCCTGAACAACAGCATGGAGAAGAAGATGACATTATCCTCAACCTTTGGTCATAAATAACATTCTGACCACTTTCACACATACCATCTATAGATCTGCAACAGTTACTTACATTCTCTCCTCCCTCAGAAACTTTGGTCTTTCCAGATATATTCAACCCCATGAACACTGATGCCTCCGTGTCAACTGGGGAGACACGTTTTTGCTAGTGGACTTGCTTCATTCCTAAAACCAAGTTAAAAACAAGGTTTGCCTGATACTGTTCATCTCCAACCAGATCTTCGATGCAGTGCGGGTAGCCATTGAAGAAACTATGTTGCAGCAATTTATTAGCTTATTGGTCCCCAAATCATATCAGTTCCTAGAATAAATATCTATTGCTGATGTAGTCAAAATTACTTAACCAATATCTGAATACATTTACATCAAGCTAAAATACCCTGGAGTTCTATAATTGGACATACATGATGGAGTGAAAGATAAAAATATGGTCATTCCTACTAGCCTTTAAGGCATCTTCATCATGTTCCATTATTCTGTGGATATCATTTTACATGATATCCTTGACCAGTATGTGACTATCACTTTAAAAATAATGATTTTTAGGGGCACCTGAGTGGCTCAGTCGGTTGAGCATCCGACTTCGGCTCCAGTCATGATCTCATGGTTGGTGGGTTCGAGCCCCATGTTGGGCTCCGTGATGACAGCTAGCTCAGAGCCTGGATCCTGTTTCGGTTTCTGTGTCTCCCTCTCTCTCTGACCCTCCCCTGCTCACACTGCCTCTCTCTCTCAGAAATAAATGAAACATTTAAAAAAATAATAATGATTTTTAAACTAAATATACTTAAATTTCACCATGCAGTGTCTCTCCAAATTATGTTCAATGAGCAATAATCTGTCTTATACCCTGGGACTTTACCACCTAATGAAAGACACCAAAACATGTTGAAGCCCCAGCAAAAATGACATTAAGAATTCAGTACGACTTGCCTAGATGCTATATTTTCTCTACTCCCCATCTGCCCTCCCATCTGAAATGCCTGCTATATTATGGATTTAGAACCCAATTTCACCCCAAAGTTTCAATACACTTGCAACCAATATGGGTTCTATGCCTTTCAACATGTATCAAACACCAGCTGTATTAGCATTCTCAAATAGAACCAATAAAATGTGTGTGTGTGTGTGTGTGTGTGCGCGCACATGTGTGCCTGTGTTACAGTCCCTGAAATTAAGGACTCAACAAACACACACATCTCCGTGTCACCCAGTTCTATAGCCTTAATTCCCCATCATCTCTAGTTTTCCCCTCTCTCATGATTGGTGGTGACCCCTAGGAGAATCTTGATCACCCTAGTAGCCCTACAAAATTTTTTGAAGAACATCTCTTGAACTTACCATAAGGAGATAGCAAAAGTTTCCTACAACTATGATCTGAAATCTGCTACCACAGCTGGGTTCTCTGCCTCTAGAGACTAGGGGAGCAGACTGTAGCTAAGGTTACATACAGCAGGCATATGATTATGAGAGAAAAGAAAACATTTGCATAAGAGGGAAGAGCTTTTGAGGCCTTTTGCGGTCCTGGCCACTCTGTGAAATTCTGATATACTAAGTAAACGAGGAAGGATAATCTCTTTTCTCAGACACTAACACTGTAGATGAATGTTGACTTTTTCCATAGAAAAACAAACTTCAGCTCAACAAGGAAAGATCATGAGTGGGAAGGATAATTGGGTACTTGACCACATGGATCCGCTTGGCAGCAATCTCACTTGCTTGATCTGCATATAAGGAGTATACTGGGCACCTGGGACAGATTTCTCTAAGACGTCACATTCTGTCTCCTCCAACATGCACTTTCTCCAGTTCCTGTTCAGAGCCAACTTTGCCGCCCTGCTCCTGGTTTTCTGTCTGCAGCTGGGGATCAACAAAGCTCAGGAAGACACGTGAGCCAAGCCTTTCCCTTCCTCCCAAAAATCCTTTCAGGGAGGGCTCCTATTCTAGCCTGGAAATCTCTATCTTCCTTCCCGAAAACTTCCAACTTTCCAGAACTCTAGTCCCAGAGGCTCTCCTAAACTCCATTTCAAGTTCCACTTCTCTCCTCTTAGGAAGTCCCATAATCTACCCTCATATTTCTACTAGGTGCTTCTAGGTTGTCCATGGAAATAAGGCTCCCAGTGTGCATATAGGCTATAAGTAACAATCAGTCATGCTCTATGGCGCTGATTCACATCCTGTCCATAGTCTACACCTTTATCAGATTTCTGCTCAGTAAACTTTACATTCTCACACCTTGCCTCCTAGAAGAGAAGTTTTAGCAAGTCTGTGCATTCCAATGATAGCTTTGAGCCATGCTGGTAGGACTCACTAAAGGATCAGAAGCCCTGATCACTGATCCTTGACATTCATTCACCCACCGCCTACACTAGGACCTGGGAACACGGGTTCAGAAGCCAAATCATTGAGGGTACATATTTGAAATAAGCAGGAAAATTGGGCAAAATCAAGTAGGAAATGGAGCCAGGGTCTGGGAGAAGGGAGACACTCAGCAAATCCAGAGGGGTTTCTCAAAAGGAACAGAGTTTTAATGCGGTTTGGGGATTGTGATTCTGATGGTACCCTCTGTGGCACAGCTACATGTCCTGTCCTGGAGTAAACCATTCAGAGTTTTGACAAGTTGGTATGGAGGCCAATGTCCTAAGAAACTTTGAATACAGACAGGTTCAGACACAGATGTCATCCCATATAGCCCTTAGGGGACAGCAAGTTGGTGATATAAGCTGTACTAATTAGGGTGATGAGAATCCCCATTTGCCCAGAAATTACTCAGTGTTAGCACTAAAGGGCTGTCATCCCAGGGGCTCCTCACTCCTGGGCAAGCTGATCTAATCACTCACTCTGGCTAAGCTGGTCATCTTATCAATCCTAAATTGATTTACAAATGAGAGGAATTTTGGAGAAATTTTGGAATTCCTGTGCACTGAGCACTAGAGCAACTGGTACAAGAAATGGAATATCTCCAAAATCTGAGATGCTTTACCCTAGGAAAATGGGACTGTAAAGCATGTAGCCAAAACCCTAAATTCCCTCCTGTCCCACCAACACCAAGGAGTTCATGCAGAAGTTTCTGGGAAAAAGAAAGTAACTCTCCTGGTCTTAAACCCAGCTCTCCCTGATGAAAGAATCTTTGAATTCCCTCTGCCTCCAGTTCCTTTTCCCATCAGATTGTGATATGTGGCTTAAAAGTAAGGTGGCATCTTTTGGGTTCCATACAGATTTTAGGATAGTTTGTTCTAGTTTTGAGAAGAATGCTGGTGCAATTTTGATTGGGATTGCATTGAATGTGTAGACTGCTTTGGGTAGTAATGACATCTTAACTATATTTATTCTTCCAATCCATGAGCATGGAATGCTTTTCCATTTCTTTGTCTCTTCTTCAATTTCCTTCATAAGTTTTCTATAGTTTTCATTATACAGATCTCTTATATCTTTGGTTAGGTTTATTCCTAGGTATTTTATGGGGTTTTTTGTGTGTGCAATTGTGAATGGGATCAGTTTCTTTTCTTTTTTTTTTTTACAAATAGTTTATTTTCAAATTAGTTTCCACATAACACCCAGTGCTCATCCCCACAAGTGTCCTCCTCCATGCCCGTCCCCCCTCCCCCCCACATCCAACAGTCCTCAGTTTTTGTCAGCATTCAAGAGTCTCTCATGGTTTGCCTCTCTCCCTTTCCCCTACCATTTCCCCCCTTCTTCTCCCCCTTGTTCCTCCGTCAAGTTCCTCCTAATCCTCCTATACGTGCAAACATATGATATTTATCCTTCTCTGCCTGACTTATTTCGCTCAGCATAACACCCTCAAGGTCTATCCATGTTGCTACACGTGGGCAGATTTCATTGTTTCTCATTGCCATGTAGTATTCCATGGTATAGATAAACCACATCTTCTTGATCCATTCATCCGTTGATGGACACTTAGGCTCTTTCCATGTTTTAGCTATTGTGGAGAGTGCTGCTATGAACATTGGGGTACACGTGCTCCTATGCCTCAGCATTTCTGTATCCCTTGGGTAAATTCCTAGCAGTGCTATTGCTGGATCCTAGGGGAGTTCTATTGTTAGTTTCCTGAGGAACCTCCACACTGTTTTCCAGAGGGGCTGTACCAGTTTACATTCCCACCAACAGTGTAGGAGGGTGCCCATTTCTCCACATCCTCGCCAGCATCTAGAGTTCTCTGATTTGCTCATTTTAGCAACTCTGACTGGTGTGAGGTGGTATCTCAGTGTGGTTTTGATTTGTATTTCCCTGATGAGGAGGGATGCTGAGCATCGTTTCATGTGTCTGTTGGCCATCTGGATGTCCTCTTTGGAAAAGTGTCTGTTCATATCTTCTGCCCATTTCTTCACTGGATGGTTTGTTTTTTGGGTGTGGAGTTTGGTGAGTTCCTTACAGATTCTGGATATTAACCCTTTATCTGATATGTCATTTGCAACTACCTTTTCCCATTCCGTTGGTTGCCTATTAGTTTTGTGAGTTGTTTCCTTTGCTATGCAGAAGCTTTTAATCTTGATGAGGTCTCAATCGTTTATTTTTGCTCTTGATTCCCTTGCTTTTGGGGATGTGTCAAGTAAGAAGTTGCTGCGGTGGAGGTCAAGGAGGTTGTTTCCCGCTTTCTCCTCTAGGGTGTTGATAGTTTCCTGTCTCACGTTCAGGTCCTTTATCCATTTTGAGTTTATTTTTGTGCATGGTGTGAGAAAATGATGTAGTTTCATTCTTCTGCATGTTGCTGTCCAGTTCTCCCAACACTATCTGTTAAAAAGGCTGTCTTTTTTTCCATTGGATATTCTTTCCTGCTTTGTCAAAGATTAGTTGGCTGTATACATTTGGGTCCACTTCTGAGTTCTCGATTCTGTTCCAATGGTCTATGTGTCTGTTTTTGTGCCAATACTGTACTGTCTTGATGATGACAGCTTTGTAGTAGAGGCTAAAGTCTGGGATGGTGATGTCTCCCGTTTTGGTTTTATTTTTCAGTATTACTTTGGCTATTCGGGGTCTTTAGTGGTTCCATACAAATTTTAGGATAGTTTGTTCTAGTTTTGAAAGTATGCTGGTGCAATTTTGATTGGGATTGCTTTGAATGTGTAAATAGCTTTGGGTAGTAATGACATCTTAACTATATTTATTCTTCCTATCCATGAGCATGGAATGTTTTTCCATTTCTTTGTGTCTTCTTCAATTTCCTTCATAAGTTTTCTATAGTTTTCATCATACAGATCTCTTATATCTTTGGTTAGTTTTATCCCTAGGTATTTTATAGGGTTTTTTTGTGTGTGTGCAATTGTGAATGGGATCAGTTTCTTGATTTCTCTTTCTGTTGCTTCACTGTTGGTGTATAAAAATGCAACCAATTTCTGTACATTGATTTTGTATCCTGCCACTTTGCTGAATTCATGGATCAGTTCTAGTAAGCTTCTGGTGGAGTCTGTCGGGTTTTCTATGTAGAGTATCATGTCATCTGCTAAAAGTGAAAGTTTGACTTCCTCTTTGCCAATTCTGATGCCTTTTATTTCCTTTTGTTGTCTGATGGCTGATGCTAGGACTTCCAGCACTGTGTTAAACAAGAGTGGTGAGAGTGGACATCCCTGTCGTGTTCCTGATCTCAGGGGGAAAGCTCTCAGTTTTTCCCCATTGAGAATGATGTTAGCTGAAGGCTTCTTATAGATGGATTTTTTGATGTTTAATTAAATTCCTTCTATCCTGACTTTCTGAGGGTCTTTATTAAGAAGGGATGCTGTATCTTGTCAAATGCTTTTTCTGCATCTATGGACAGGATCATATGGTTTTTATCTTTTCTTTTGTTGATGTCATGTATCACAACTGATTGATTTGTGAATATTGAACCAGTTCTGTAATCCAGGAATGAATCCCACTTGATCTTGGTGGATAATTCTTTTTATGTGCTGTTGGATTCGATTTCCAAGTATCTTGTTGAAGATTTTTGCATCTGCATTCATCAGGGATATTGGCCTGTAGTTCTCTTTTTTTGTGAGATCTCTGTCTGGCTTGAGAATCAAAGTGATGCTGGCTTCATAAAATATTGAAGAAGAAAACCAAAATGGGAGACATCACCATTGCAGAGTTTAGCTCTACTAGGAAGCTGTAATCATCAAGACAGTATGGTATGGCACAGTAAAGGAAACAACTCACAAAACTAATAAGCAACCAATGGAATGAGAAAAAGTAGTTGCAAATGACATATCAGATAAAGGGTTAATATCCAGAATCTATAAGGAACTCACCAAACTCCACACCCAAAAAACAAACCATCCAGTGAAGAAATGGGCAGAAGATATGAACAGACACTTTTCCAAAGAGGACATCCAGATGGCCAACAGACACATGAAACGATGCTCAGCATCCCTCCTCATCAGGGAAATACAAATCAAAACCACACTGAGATACCACCTCACACCAGTCAGAGTTGCTAAAATGAGCAAATCAGAGAACTCTAGATGCTGGCGAGGATGTGGAGAAATGGGCACCCTCCTACACTGTTGGTGGGAATGTAAACTGGTACAGCCCCTCTGGAAAACAGTGTGGAGGTTCTTCAGGAAACTAACAATAGAACTCCCCTATGACCCAGCAATAGCACTGCTAGGAATTTACCCAAGGGACACAGGAGTGCTGATGCATAGGGGCACATGTACCCCAATGTTCATAGCAGCACTCTCCACAATAGCTAAAACATGGAAAGAGCCTAAGTGTCCATCAATGGATGAATGGATCAAGAAGATGTGGTTTATCTATACCATGGAATACTACATGGCAATGAGAAACAATGAAATCTGCCCATGTGTAGCAACATAGATGGACTTTGAGGGTGTTATGCTGAGCGAAATAAGTCAGGCAGAGAAGGATAAATATCATATGTTTGCACGTATAGGAGGATTAGGAGGAACTTGACGGAGGAACAAGGGGGAGAAGAAGGGGGGAAATGGTAGGGGAAAGGGAGAGAGGCAAACCATGAGAGACTCTTGAATGCTGACAAAAACTGAGGACTGATGGATGTGGGGGGGGAGGAGGGATGGGCATGGAGGAGGGCACTTGTGGGGATGAGCACTGAGTGTTATGTGGAAACTAATTTGACAATAAACTATTTGTAAAAAAAAATAAAAAATAAAAAAGACAGTATGGTATGTGCACAACAGGCACACGGACCAGTGGAACAGAATTGAGAACTCAAAATTGGACCCAAAAATGTACAGCCAACTAATCTTTGACAAAGCAGGAAAGAGATTCCAATGGGAAAAAAGACAGCCTCTTTAACAGATGGTGCTGGGAGAACTGGACAGCAACATGCAGAAGAAGGAAACTAGATCATTTTCTCACACCATACACAAAAATAAACTCAAAATGCATAAAGGATCTGAACGTAAGACCGCAAACCACCAAAACGCTAGAGGAGAAAGCAGGAAACAACCTCCTTAATCTTAACCGCAGCAATTTCTTACTTGACACATCCCTGAAGGCAAGGGAATCAAGAGCAAAAATGAACTATTGGGACCTCATCAAGATTACAAGCTTCCTCACAGCAAAGGAAACAATCCATAAAACTAATAGGCAACCGACGGAATGGGAAAAGATAGTTGCAAAGGACATATCAGATAAAGGGCCAGTATCCAAAATCTATAAGGAACTCACCAAATTCCACACCCAAAAAACAAACAATCCAGTGAAGAAATGGGCAGAAGATATGAACTGACACACTTCTCCAAAGAGGACATCCAGATGGCCAACAGACACATGAAATGATACTCAGCATCCCTCCTCATCAAGGAAATACAAATCAAAACCACACTGAGATACCACCTCACACCAGTCAGAGTGGCCAAAATGAGCAAAGCAGAGGACTCTAGATGCTGGCGAGGATGTGGAGAAATGGGCACCCTCCTACACTGTTGGTGGGAATGTAAACTTGGTGCAGCCCCTCTGGAAAACAGTGTGGAGATTCCTCAAAAAATTAACAATAGAACTCCCCTATGACCCAGCAATTGCACGGCTAGGAATTTCCCCAAGGGATAGAGGAGTGCTGATGCATAGGGGCACATGTACCCCAATGTTCATAGCAGCACTCTCAACCATAGCCAAAACATGCAAAGAGCCTAAGTGTCCATCAACTGACGAATGGGTCTAGAAGATGTGGTTTATCTATGCAATGGAATACTACAGGGCAGTGAGAAAGAATGAAATCTGCCCATGTGTAGCAACATGGATGTAACTTGAGGGTGTTATGCTGAGCGAAATAAGTCAGGCAGAGAAGGACAAATGTCATATGTTTGCACATATAGGAGGATTAGGAGGAACTTCACAGAGGACCGTGAGGGAGAAGAAGGGGGGAAATAGTCGGGAAGAGGGAGAGAGGCAAACCATGAGAGACTCTTGAATGTTGAGAACAAACTGAGGACTGATGGGTATGGGGGGGAGGGAGAGGGAGGTGATGTACATGAAGGAGGGGACTTGTGGGGATGAGCCCTGGGTGTTATATGGAAACCAACTTGACAATAAACTATTAAAAAAAATTAGGGTGGCATCTAAAGCCCCCAAACATCGCCATGTGTCCAAATTTACAGCAGACCTAAAGAAATACAAATTCCTAGGCCCCACCAGGTAGCAAAGATGGATGATCTCAAGGATGACTCTAAAAATTCCTCCAGTGCATTGAGATGTTTATTATGATTTAACACAATTCTGTTGACATGGAATTTTCTAGTAATGATGACTTGACCCCCTCGCCTAGTGGACAATCAACAGAATCTGAAGGATTTTATTAAGAAATGACATGTGAGAGGTGCCTGGGTGGCTCAGTCAGTTAAACGTCCGACTTCAGCTCAGGTCATGATCTGGCGGTTCGTGGGTTCCAGCCCGGCATGGGGCTCTGTGCTGACAGCAATGGAGCCTGGAGCCTGCTTCAGATTCTTTGTCTCCCTCTCTGTTTACCCCTTCCTCACTCATGGTCTGTCTGTCTCTCTCTGTCTCTCAAAAATAAATAAACATTAAAAAACTTTAAAAAAAAGAAATGACATGTGATATTATACTTTTATTCTTTTTAATTTATTTTTTGTCAGTGAAAAGACAATGCTCCATTTTAAATAAAGCATTAAAGCTGCTATGTTAAAGAAAACAAAGTCTTGTAGAAAACAACCAAAGAAAACAAGGATCAAAAATTTCCAGGGAGGGGCGCCTGGGTGGCTTAGTCGGTTAAGCGTCCGACTTTCGCTTAGGTCATGATCTCGCGGTTCGTGGGTTTGAGCCCCGCGTCGGGCTCTGTGCTGACTGCCAGCTCAGAGCCTGGAGCCTGTTTCAGAGCCTGTCACTCCCTCTCTCTCTGACCCTCCCCTGCTCACGCTGTCTCTCTGTCTCTCCTAGAAATAAATTTTTAAAAAATTTAAAAAATTTAAAAAAATTTCCAGGGATTCTTCATTATTGCACTATATGGTAACTAACTTGGATGTAAATTAAAAAGTAAAAATTTAAAAAAATGTCCAAGGGTTCTGATGCTCAGTGATTGATTCAGCTCTCATTATCTTCTTTGCCTTACACCTTCCCTGTTCCTTATGCTCTGCTCATTGTGCACCTCTCTCTCATGGATAGATCCTGATCTCTCCCCTCCTTCCCTCTTCCCCAAACCAGCCAAAAAGCGATAACAATGCACATGGAGATGCCCCAAAAAGCAAGCCAAGGTGACGAAGTCTCTGTGAATTTGACTGTTCAAACAGAATTGAAAGAATGTTTGGTGGTAAGTAGAGGCCTAGGGAGGGGGGAGAGGCGGTGAACTCAAGACAAATCTGACTCCTTAGTTATGAATACAATTAGATTATACTTAATATGATGAATTGCAACCCTCATGCTCCCAATTCTCATATATACTTGAGCCTTAGAACAATCATCAGACCTTGGAGCAGATTACTATTCTCATTTTACAGATAAAGGAACCTGATCCTGAGGTGTAGGAAGGACGAGAAGGGAAGAAGGAATGGGTAGTGAAGAAAAACACAGCTAGAAGGGAGAAGAGAGGAAAAGCTTACAAGCTGGGAGAAAAGTGGTAAGAGTTCCTCCAAGGTCCAGGGCAGGATTGTTTGAGGAGGGGTGGGGATGGGGGGGTCTCACAACCCCATCCAGTGCCCTAAGGCAGGTGGGCAGAAGAGATATGTTGCACAGAACACAAGGGATAGGATTCCCTCCTCTGCAGTGAGCTCTGAGCAGATGTTGTGTTGACCCCTCGCCCTCTGCCCTTTGCTCTATCGTCAGAACTTCACTCTTGTCCCAGCCTCCTCTCCCCAACAAGGAGCCCATGCTGTCCTCTCTGCTTTCTCCAATTCGCAGTTATGGGAGGGAGGTCCAATCCCTTTAGTAGATCAGAGGTTTTCAAATGGAAATGCACCTAAGTCTCACCTGTGTGTTATCGTTGGCTGCTCTGGGCCACGAGGAGAAGGGACCTGTGCAGGTTTACCCACAGAGGCTTTTTCCCAGGGGGAAGAATGTCCTCTTCCCTGCCAGCAGTCTCCTCTCGTGTTGTCCACCCCCCCGCCCCCACGCAATCTGCCCCTTGTTACCTATCGCTGTTCCATGGCCAAGACCCAGGCGTTTCTCCCCTGCCTCCTTCTAGAAGTACACTCTCTCAGGCAGCACATGCATGAGTTTCCTAACTCAAATTAGATTTAAGCACAATGATTAAATAGAAAACAGATTGGGAGCATGAGAATTGTTATTCCTTAAAATATATTCTAGAAATGGCCCCAGACCTGCAAGAGGAAGATTTCTGATCACTGAGCAAAGAACAACATGGCTGCTTTGTCAAATTTGTCTGTTCATAGTCCAAGGATGTGAATACTGCATGTTAGTTGGGGGTGGGAGGGAGGCCACATCATAATTTCTCAGTTTTGTGTTTTGTTTGTCATAACCACAGATGACAAAAGGAATGAGAATGTGTGCATAAAGGTCTTGTGATAATGGTAGTTTCTGGTAATGATAGATAATGAAAGTCTGCTTCGACCCCTGAGAAAGTGATAAGTGCTAAAAAATGTGTTTAATTAACAAAATCACATGTGAAATAATTTTGTGTTTTACTGTGATTCATAGGACAATGCTTTAAAAACAATGCTAATACAATCAAATAAGGCAATCTTTTTAAAATAATTTTTTAATGTTTATTCATTTTTCAGGGAGAGAGAGAGAGAATGCACGTGGGGGAGGAGCAGAGAGAGAGGGAGACCCAGAATCTGAAGCAGTCTCCAGGCTCTGAGTTGTCAGCGCAGAGTCTGACACAGGGATGCAATTCAGAAACCCTGAGATCATTACCTGAGCCGAAGTCAGATGCTCAACCGACTGAGCCGCCTAGACGCCCCAGGCAATCTTTTTTTTTTTTAATGTTTTATTTATTTCTGAGAGAGAGAGAGATGCAGTGTGAGCAGGGGAGGGTCAGAGAGAGAGGGAGACACAGAATCCGAAGCAGGCTCCAGGCTCTGAGCTGTCAGCACAGAGTCCGATGCGGGGCTCGAATCCACCAACCGTGAGATCATGACCTGAGCCGAAGTTGGACGTTTAACTGACTGACCCATCCAGGCGCCCCGGTAATCTTTATAAAAACCTACCCAAGTACAAGGAATCTCATAGAATAAAAGAATTTCTGGGAAATTTTGTTAGTTCTGGTCAACCATTTTTTATTTGTAGTTTCCAATATAAAAAAAATGTCTAGCTATAAAAACATCTTCAGATTTTAATTTAGGAAAATGTAATTTTTTATATGTGTGAAGATTCTAGTACCTAATCTTCATTTTCTAACAATTATAACGTTTTGCAAATAAATTTTTGATCAAGTGAGGTATTAGGATCACAAATGTAAAATTTAAGTAGATTATACCCTCAATCATGAATATAAAGATTGTATAATCTTTTAAGGTTGAAGAGAATTTGCAGCAAACCACAGTGCTTTGCTTAAACATTTGTGGTATGAGGGTGCCTGTGTGGCTCAGCTGGCTAAGTGTCCGACTTCAGCTCAAGTCATGATCTCACGGTTTGTGGGTTCGAGCCTAGCGCAGTGCTCTGTGCTGACAGCTCAAAGCCTGGAGCCTGCTTCGGATTCTGGATCTTCCTCTCTGCCCCTCCCCTCACTCTCTCTCAAAAAATGAATAAAACATTTTTTAAAAAATGAAAAATTTGTCCTATGGACCATTTTGCTGGTCTCTTGAAGTCTAGAGAATACTTATGAGAAAATTACTTTTAAATGTGTGAACAGGGGCACTTGGTTTGGCTCAGTCAGTTGAGCATCTGACTCTAGATATGAGCTCAGGTTGCCACCTGGGGTCATGGAATTGAGCCCTGTATGGGGCTTCAAGCTGAGTGTGGAGCCTGCTTGGGATTATTTCTCTCTCTCTCCCTTTGCCCTTTTCCCCCGCTTGTGCTCTCTCTCTCTCTTTCTCAACAACAAAAAAAATAATAATAAAATAAGTAAATGTGTGAATAAAATGCATGGGATTACACAGGAAAACTATCATATTGAAAAACAGTGATAATGATTATTTTTATCATTATCAAATGAGTACTTTTGACACAGTACTCTTTACATCATTTTATCGACATATTAGCTAAAAAGGCAATACATTTAAAATATAGACAAGTTGGGGCGCCTGGGTGGCTTAGTCTGTTAAGCGTCTGACTTTTGCTTAGGTCATGATCTCTTGGTTTGTGGGTTCGTGCCCCTCGTCGGGCTCTGTGCTGACTGCCTGCTCAGAGCCTGGAGCCTGTTTCGGTCTGTGACTCCCTCTCTCTCTGACCCTCCCCTGCTCACCCTGTCTCTCTCTCTCTCCTAGAAATAAATAAAACATTAAAAAAATACATAAACAGTAACAAAAATATTTTAAAAAAATAAAATAAAACATAGATAAGTTAACATTTATCTTATAAAGATAATCTATGTAATGGCCCCTGTTGCTCAGCCTGAGTAAGTAGCTCCAACTCTACATTGGTTTTTGACAAGTGAATCCCAGTGGCCTCTGTTTTTCAAGTGTTGAAAATTCTGACTCAGGAGCGCTTGTGTGGCTCAGTCAGTTAAGCGTCCAACTTTGGCTCAGGTCATGATCTCACAGTTTGTGGGTTCGAGCCCTGCATCAGGCTCTGTGCTGACAGCCAGCTCAGAGCCTGGAGCCTGTTTCAGATTCTGTGTCTCCCTCTCTCTCTCTGACCCTCCCCTGCTCACACTGTCTGTCTGTCTGTCTCTCTCTCTCAGAAATAAATAAAACATTTTTTAAAAAGGGAAAAAAAAGAAACTTCTGATTCATTAGGATAAACTGCTGTGAATGTCACAAGAAGACATAAACCCCTGGCAAGGGTAGGTTTCTTGAAAGAAATGCCAGGATCTCCAAAATATTTGGAGTAAAATTCCAATGTTGAGAAAGCTTGAGAAAGCTTGAATTCACCTGTTAGAGCTGACAAGCTATTCAATGCAGCTTCCAGTTACCTGGGCAAGCTTTAGGAGAGGGGCAGAGGGCCCCAGCCATGACCATGCAACCCAATGATATAATGTCCCTGTGTTCAAGGTAGTGATGAGTGCAGACAATAGTATGAGATACATAACCCTGTAAAGCAGTATAAACATGTCTATGTTTTCCTTCATGATAAAATCACATACACTGCAAATGCCACTGAGGGCCACTGATGACATAGCGTGAGGAATGCTCAATTTCAGTGAAAGGTTAATAAAATAAAGATACAGTTTCTTTTCATCTGAGTTCACAGACTCAGTGAATTCTATCCACAGACCCCTCTGGGTCTATCAACACCAGGATAACACCCCCGTGCTGAACACTAACCAGACAAAAGCTTCCTGATGCTGCTGAAACTTATGCATGTCAAGTTCAAGGAAAGGAAAAAGGAAATTTACCCTCAAGATTTCATCCATTTATCTAACAGCCAAGTCTAGTAGGTGACTGTCTTCCTCTCACAACTGAGGAAAGAGAGTCTGAGAGACGACACTTCAATCATCCAAATTCACAGAGTTGGGAAGAGCACAGGTCCAGGAGCAAGGTCTGGTTTTGGCCTCTACTCCCAAGGGCCAAGCTGTGGCAGCAGGCCAGTTCCTGGGAACAACAGCAAGCATGCTCCTCAGATGAAGGCTGCCTCAGAATGTGTTCTCCTTGCCCTGTCAATTCACTTACCTCTTCCCTTCGGAGCCCACACCCACAGCACTAAAGCAGGATATGTTGCTGGAAAACCTTCTGACCTAGACTTTAGCTCCTGAAAATGACAGACACAAGTGGACTCCCCAGTACCTCTGGTCTACATCCATCGCTGCTCTTTGTGCATGAAAAGTGTTCTCCTCCTCCTCCTCCTCTTCTTCCTCCTCCTCTTCCTCACACTCTCTTGTCTTTCTCTCCCTTTCCCATTCACCAGACTAACACTGGGTCATCTCTGCCCACTTCTTCCTCCCCAGATTCAATCTTACCTTGTAAGCCAGCATCCAATTGAAGGTCCTTTTACCTATAAATACACGGCCTGCCTCTGTAAAGATAATCCAAGAACTTTCTACTGGGACTTTCAAGTCAGTGGTAAGTATAGGGGTCATCCAAGTGAAGAGCTATCTACTAGGGTGGGGAAACAATGAAGAGAAATGTTACTCCAAATATGAAACAGAAGGTCAGTGCAGAAGGGCAGAGGGAAAGGAGGGAAGGAGAAAGGAGAGTGGATGGGGACTATGCCCAGGTCTGGAAGGTGTGGGGTTGTGTGAGAAAAGCTAACAAGGGAAATATAATTGTAAATGATTGGGGGGAAACTGGGTCCCAGTGAGAGGTTCCTGAAACCAGTAAGAAAAAAGCCAGAAAACTGAGGGTTATCAAAGAAGATCTTTGTCCTTGTCTCTTTCAGAAACTGTAGCAATAGCAGCAGTGACCCACACTATTGAACAAGAAGGTATCTGCCCCCAAAATAAGGCAGTGGTGCCCTTCGGACCGAAATATTTTTATACCACTGGGAGGATACTCGTATACTGATCTTGGTGGAAGCCCTTGTCTGTCCTAAAGGATGGTTCCTCTATAGAAATTTGGAGGAGTATCTGTTGTGGTCTACAAAATAAACTTCTCATAAACTACTCTGTGTTCTGTGTCTTCCCTTCCAAATCTGTTCCAGAGGAGCCTCAGAGCACCCAGAATACCTGGAACTTTGTTCTTTCAAAGAACTGTTACTGAAGAAAGTTTATGGATTCTCATTGCCCACTGGTATGAAGAGTGAGAGACAAAGAAATAGAGAAGAGTCACAGAATCTGAGATTCCCTGGGCTCCTAAATATGATGCCCCTTCCCTGTACACATGCCCTGTGCCTCCTTACTAGAGGGGAAAACTCAGAAGCTAGGGAATGCCAAATGTTAGTGGAAAATGAGGGGCAATGGGACCATTATGCACAGCTGGTTAATATGGTACCAGGGTAAAAATGTGAATGTGTATGAATGGCTGGCCATCCAGACAAACATAAACTGCTCTTGATCTTTTCTTTCTCATTTATTTTTTCTTTAAAAATTTTTTTTAATGTTTTATTTATTTCTAGGAGAGAGAGAGACAGCGTGGGCAGGGGAGGGTCAGAGAGAGAGGGAGTCACAGACTCCGAAACAGGCTCCAGGCTCTGAGCTGGCAGTCAGCACAGAGCCCGACGCGGGGCTCGAACCCACGAACCCCAAGATCATGACCTAAGCGAAAGTCAGACGCTTAACTGACTAAGCCACCCAGCCACCCCTAAAAATATTTTTTTAATGTTTTATTTATTTCTGAGAAAGAGAGACAAAGACAGTGTGAGCAGCAGAGGGTCAGAGAGAGAGAGAGAGATACAGAATCTGAAACAGGCTCCAGGCTCTGAGTTAGCTGTCAGCACAAAGCCCAATGCAGGGCTCGAACCCACAAACCGTGAGATCATGACCTGAGCCGAAGTCGGACGCTTAACTGACTGAGCCACCCAGGTGCCCCTCTCATTGATTTTTTCTGATGAAAACGAAAAGGAGCATTAATCATATCAATAGCCACAGACCAAGTGCCAGAGACTATGCTTATCTATTCTTGTAAAGACATCACACCTGACAAAGCAGCTGTCAAGGGATTTTTTTGTTTGTTTGCTGGACATTCTAGAGTCCCAGTTTCCCAAGAGCACATTTCTTACTGTTTTACCAAAGGATATGTCTTCAGATCCAGGAAGCATGAAAGGCCCCCAACAAAATCAACCCAGTGAGGTCCACACCAAAGACACAGGGTAATTAAAATGACCCAAAGTAGGGGAGTGTGGGTGGCTCATCAATTAGATGCTTTACAAAAAATCACCTCATTAACCTAATAAAAAACCTTTATCACTCTCATCACAGGAAATTTTAAAGGTTTGAGGATCTGTGAGCCACAAATGGTGGATGGACAAAGACCAAATATATATTAGAAATACATTTTGGTCATCCGAATGACCAAATATATGTCATAAATCAATATCATAGTCTGTATCTTTTTGCTGGTGAGATTCTTTCAGAAATATGGAAGACAACTCAGTCCACGCACATGGCAGGTTGGAAAGGTGGAGATGGGAACACCAAAACCTTGAGGAGCAACCCTCAGCCAGTGACGTGGACACTGGTATGGATATACCCAAGTTCTTATGTCTTTGGGTTGTAGTACTTACGAATCGTGTGTTTTAACCATCTGCCAGAGATTTCCCTCAGGATTAGGCTTGTCTTCCACTCTGACAACTGGCTTAATAATGTACCTTTTATTATGCTCCCCTGAGCATATCGATACACACATTCCCCTGCGTATGTCTCCTAAATTTTCCAAAAAACTAAAAAACACTTCCAATAAAATCTTTGTCTCAAAGTCTGCCCCAGAGGGAACACAAACTAAGATAAGATAAAATTTTCAGGGTGTTTAAGAATAGTGATTGCTGGGGCACCTGGGTGGCTCCGTCGGTTAAGCGTCCGTCTTTAGCTCAGGTCATGATTTCACGGTTCACAGGTTCGAGCCCCGCATTGGGCTCTGTGCTGACAGCTAGCTCAGAGCCTGGAGTCTGCTTCAGATTCTGTATCTCCCTCTCTCTTTCTCTGACCCTCCCTGCTCACACTGTCTCTCTCTCAGAAATAAATAAAACATGTTAAAAAATTAAAAAAAAAAAAAGAATAGTGATTGCTGCGGCACTTGGGTAGCTCAGTCAGTTGAGTGTCTAACTATTGATTTCAGCTCAGGTCATGTTCCCAAGGTGGTGGGATCAAGGAGAAGTAACCAATTAGAAACCTTGCAAAGGAAAAATATACTCACTGAAGCTTTTTAAGATGCAAAGAAAAATTAATAAACTGAAATGGAACCAATAAGTAAAATATTTGTAAATTGGAAGACAGTGTTGAAGAATTCATCTAGAGCTAGAGAAGAGCTCTAAGAACATACTAGTTTGTGCCTTTTGCTCTAGCACACTGTGCAATTGATCATTTGTTCCATATTTAAATTTTTTACTTAATTGCATTAAAACATGCAGGATGGGTTTGGTACTTTCACTTAGTACTCCCACTTCTGCCCAGGTCTTCTCTAATAGTATGTGAGATGCTCCACTAAAAACGCAGCTGGCTTTTCCCTACACATTCCAGAAACAGTGAGTCTAATACCTCTTTTGAAAGACAATGTCCAGGGAACTTACTGCAAAAACAAAGTGCCCTCATTAGTGAGTGGCTTGGTACCCTTGTCTGCTTCCAGCCTCAGAAGGCACTAAAAAGGTAAACAAGGTGGTGCTCATGCCAGCTCCACCCACAAGTAGTGCAAAGCTTGAGATCCGCATAAAGCCTGCGGGCCACCAGTTGGTGAGAACAATGAAGAAAGTGAGAGGTCATAGCTTAGACGAAAAGAATTTCAGAAATAGAGACTGAGCAGTCCTACCATAGAGCATGGAGAGAGTGGTCTGAATGAATGTTCCTGATATGGTACTTTGCATTTGTGTGTGTGTGTGTGTGTGTGTGTGTGTGTGTGTGTGTGTGTGTGTAAATCTACAACTACTTATTTCCTTTATAATATGACTTTTGAGTGATAAATCTGTTGGCATAAGTGGGTTTGAAAAATAAAAAGTGCATGATAATAAAAAATTAAGAACTCAATTTTTATTTCTCAAGAAAGTTGATGATAAATATGCTTGTCATTTACCAGACTATAATATAATATCGCTGACTACATGAAAACCCTAGACCTAAATCTACTTCAGAAGTTAGTTGTTACTTTTCAAAGGCTAGACCTAAAGATGACATTAATGTACATCTGTAGAAGGTACATTTCTTTCATATCTCTCAGCAGAGAATGACCTTTCATTTTGGTCAAATACCTTTAGCTGGATTAAGAAAGAGAGAAGACCAAATAAAATCAGAAATTAATTAGGAGACATTACAAATATTACCACAGAAATATAAAGAATCATAAGAGACTGTCATGAACAAGTATATACCAACAAACTGAATAAACTAGAAGAAAATGGATAAATTCCTAGAACCATAAAATCTATCAAGGCTGAATAATAGAAAATCTGGGGGCACCTGGGTGGCTCAGCCGGTAAAGCATCCGACTTTGGCTCAGGTCATGATCTCACAGTTCGTGAGTTTAAGCCCCGCGTTGGGCTCTGTGCTGACAGCTCAGAGCCTGAAGCCTACTTCAGATTCTGTGTCTACCTCTCTCTCTGCCCCTCCCTCACTCATGTTCTGTGTCTCTCTGTCTCTCAAAAATAAACGAAAACATTAAAAATAAACAAATAAATAGAAAATCTGAACGGGATCAATATCAAGTAAGGAGACTAAATAAGTAATCAAAACAAAGAAAAGTCCAGGACTACATGACTTCACTGATAACCTGTACCATATAAAGAAGAATTAATGCCAATCCTTCTCAAACTCTTAAAAAAATTTGAAGACAAGGGAACACTTTCAAACTCATTTTGTGAGGCTAGCATTAGTCTAATAAAGCCAGACAAAGACACTGTAAGAAAACTATAAGCCAATATCACTGATGAACATAGATACAAAAATCCTCAACAGAATACTAGCAAACCAAATTCAATAGCGTATCAAAAGAATCATACACTATAAGCAAATGGACTTATCCCTGGGATGCAAAGATAATTCAACATACACAAATCAATAACTGTTGTACACCACATCAACAGAATGAAGGATAAAAATTATATGATCATCTCAATAGATGCAGAAAGAGCATTTGACCAACCTCAACAATTTTTCATCATAAAAACACTCACAAATTGGGTATAGAAGGAATGTATCTCAACATAACAAAGGCCATACATGACAAGCCCATAGCTTACATCATACTCAACAGTAAAAATCAAAGTTTTTCCTCTAAGATCAGGAACAATACAAAGATTTTCAACTCTCATGACTTCTATTCAGCATAGCACTGGAATCCACAGCCACAGCAATCAGGCAATAAATAAAAGGTATCCAAACGAAAAAGGAATAAGTAAAATGCCAACATTTACATTTTCATGTTTTTTGTGCATATACCAAAAAGGAATTGAAAGCCATTCACGCTAGGTCCATTAGAAGAAAATTCCCAGTAATATGACCTTAGTTTTATTAGTCTTTCAAATAGAAATATCAGTTAATTCAAATAATAGATTGTGTTCGCCCAATTAATAAATTAAAAAAGTAAAGATTTTGGAAGTCCTTTCTGTTTGAAGATGAAATAGCTCACATGTTGGTGTGTGCTACAAACCCATTTAAAAAGGTAAACATTGAAAATAAAAATTGTTTGGTAGTTCATAATATGAGTACAAATTTTAGTAGAGCACAATGTCTTGTGGAAGACATGGTCATGATCTCACAATTGAGTCGTGAATTAGAGCCCCACACCAGGCTGTCAGTGCCCACTTCAGATCCTCTGTTCCCCTCTCTCTCTGCCCCTCCCCAACTCGTGCCCCCCTCTCAAAAATAAATAAACATTAAAAAAATTTTAAGTAAAAAAAAGAAATCTGTGAAACAAAAAGA